GTGCCTTGTCGACTCAGTCGTGCGTGCGTGCGTGCGTGCGTGCGTGCGTGCGTGCGTGCGTGCGTGCGTGCGTGCGTGCGTGCGTGCGTGCGTGCGTGCGTGCGTGTGTAATGTATATTCAATGTGTCCGGTAATAACCCGGTATCAAATCTCGCTGGTAGAGCAGATTAAATTGAACAGAAAAGTTTTCTACCATTTTGCAAAATTCGCAATCATTAACGAAATATTAATTTTTGAAGATTTGCAAATAAATGCGTATCCGTCTGAGGATAGACTCTATCCCCACGCGCCTAGCAGCGCGGCGAGATCCGACGGCGAGGCACGACCGCCCCATCGCTGATTCAGACCGGACGGATACGTATTTATTCGCCAATCTTCAAAAATTAATATCTCGTTAACGATTGCGAATTTTGCAAATGGTAGAAGACTTTTTTGTTCAGTTTAATCTGCTCTACCAGATCTGCCCACGAGATTTGATACGGTTATTACCGGATATGTACCCTGTATAACGTACGAATCTTTTATATTGTTATGCCCGTGTCTAAGCTCGCGTCTAAGTCATCCCAAAGAAACAGAGCAGGTCAGAGCACGTCCGTTCACACTGACAGCTCAGCTCTCTCTCTCATGGCGTCCGTTTGACAGCCGATAGTCCGTCGTCCAGGAAACAATCTCCTCTCGTCGGCTCGTTCGTACATACGGGATGACGCAGACTTAGACGCGGGCTTAGACACGGGCGTAACACTATGCAATAAAAATCAATATTCATACTTCTCTTTGCAACTTTCTTTTTTCTACTTTCAACTCATCTTCTGCTTTTTCAGATGCTTCTGCAGCTGATTTGTAACGAATTACTTGACTTTCTAATCTAGCTACTGTTGCTTGCAGCGTAGACATATCTTGTTCTGCTTTTTGCAATTTAAATTTATAATCAGCCAATAATTTATTTGCCTCACGTTGAATATCTTCATTATCTGATAAACAACCTTCAACAACAAATATATCAATTAATGAATAAAAAAAATATCACAATATTAATAAGAATATATGTATATTGTTAACTATACATATATAATTTAAATTTTTGTAAACATATCTATATAAGTATCAACCTAATATTGAGCCAGATGATTTTTCGGGTCTCATGCGATTTCTAGTTTCTTCTAATTCCAATCTTAAATGGCGAATTTCATCTTGCAATTCCTTTTTTTCAGAAGCAAACTTTCTTAGTCGGATATCTAAAAGATATACAAATATGATAAATATGATTGTGTAAAGGACTCTGAATAATGCAATGTAAATATAAATTATAATTGGCAATTGAAAGTTCAGCGCAATAAGTGGTGAGCAACTTATGATTATTTAATTAAAATTAAATTACAAAACAGTACATATATATAAAATCCGATTGGATGATTCGGTTCTGCTTTGAGCCATCATCAGCAATTCACGCTTTTGGACTCTCATGGCTTAATTATTTAGCTATTTTCCACTTAGCCTTAAAAATATCTATATGGAATAAATTACTTCTAGATCCAATCTTGAAGCTGTCATCTGTAGCTAATTCGGAAAGTGTGAAATCACCAATAACTAAAATGTAACATCGTGCCGAACTCTTAATTACCAATTATTATTAATTTATAAAAGGTTATAAAATTTTGTCTAATAATGACTTCTTAATTAATTATATACCTAGTGAACCTTTACCAGCCGTTTCTAATAATTCCGCAGCTTCTGTACTGACTAGTACTCTCTTTTTATGACACAATCCATTTTCAATATTTTCGTTATCTTCATCTTCACTTTCCTTATTGTCAACAATGACTAAACCATTTTCCTAAATTATAATTTATTTCAGGCTTATATGATTAAAAATATTATATTACAAGCTATTCTTTCATAAACAATATTGTGTTGTTTTAAGTAATACTCAATAAAACATACTTGTATAAGTGTATCTCTTTCTAGCAACTGTTCTCTGCAAATATCTAAATCTTCTTTCAGTCTTTGACTGACCCGTTTTAATTGTTCAACATCTCGATTTTTTTCTTTCAATTCTCTACGTAATTGCGCAGTGGTTTCTTCTAATTCTTCCAATTTATCTTTTAATAAATCAACTTGGTAGGCATAAGATGATTTTTCATTGTCTAGCTGAGCATTAGCTATCATTGCCTTTCTAAATTTTTCTTCAAATTCTTTTAATTCCAGCTACATATAATTTATATTGTATTAGTATCAATAAAAATTGAATAATAAAATTAAATAACAAAAGATTTGTAGATATACCCTAATATCTCTATTTAATCCTGCATCTTCCAATGAATCTTCTGAAGATCTACGACTCGATTGAAAATTATTGGAATTTGTAAGAAGTCGCGATGTACGCACTGGATCTGGAGTTACTCTCATGGTTCTGTTTACATCAACTACAATCATATATAATGTATATACACACTCAGTATATACTCAGTGGTTTAGAAAGTTGCGACAAACTTTGGAGAATAGTAGATCAAATCGAATAATTTTTATCAAATAATTATGTTCATTAATGTAGTATTATGGTATTAAGTGATATTTTTTAACGTCTGAAAGAAAGACAAGTTTTAATATTATATTTAATTTTGCATTTATTTTATTTGCTATATATAATTTTAAAATAAAAAATACTGTTGAAGCAATGGCTTTCAATCTGAATACACATATATTTGCAAAGCATTGATTACTGAACTCTTTTAAAAATATACTTGATGAGATCTATCCCTTTTTTCCCTTCTCCTCAAGTTTGTCACAAATATTATGAATCACGATATTGTATACGTATAAAGAAAGTGATTCTAAAAATAAATAATTGCAAAAATATGAAATTATAATGTATGAAATTCAAAATATGATTTATTTTCTTAAAAAAAAATACCTGTACACATGTCATAAACTCTATCAGCATTCTCCTCTGCCTCCTTTTGTTGTCTTTCTAATTCACGCATTCGTATTTCTCTGGCTTCTGCTCTTGCCTGTCTTCTAGCAGCTAGTCTTGCCTCTGCCTGAAAATATATATGGAAAATCTATTATCAAAAACATATATTTACATTTATTTCATTATCAATATATAACCATATTATAAAGTTCTTACATGGCATCTATGTATATTAGAATAACTAATGAAACAAAAGGAATTATAAATTCTTCCATTATAAATTTTTACATAACATTTAATTTTTTTAATTAAAAGATAAATTATTTATGTATAGTTGCTATATAAATCAAGCTTAACAGATTATTTAGATACATTGGACAGATAGTATTTAGATAGTTAATTTATATTATAGTATTTAGATTGATACAATAATTAAGAAAATATACGAATTTCCATAATTTAATACAATATGTAAAATTTTTGAAAAAAATATGCAAATTAATAAATAATAATAAAATATAAAATGCTATAAGATCTGATAATATTACAAACATTTAAAAAAATGTTTGTAATTTATGATACTTTGTCTCCTCAAAGATAATATAAGTAAATATTGTACTAAAATGTACAAAAGCATAAGAAATATTTGTCAATATTTATAAATATACCTGCACCTAATAAATATGCATATATAAGCATTATCTTAATCCTCTATTCATGCTCTCGGTTTTGTCAATTTTTTTATTATGAATTTTAAGAGAATGAATATAGAGATTTGGTATCTCGTCTTAAAAAACTTTCTTTTATGGTAAAAACCTGTTGATAAAGGTTTCACAAGTACATACATGAATTATTTCAGATTTGTACATAGTATTGCACCAGAAAAAAATCATAAAATAATATTAAAAAATAAACAATTTCTTGCAGATTTTAAAATCCATTTTTGGAATCTAGGTTGGAAATTTCACGTTGCTAAGAGAGAATTAAACGATAATTAAGATATATATATATATATATATATATATATATATATATATTACTGTGTGAGTGTGTGTGTACATGTAAATATACATAATACTTCTGCTTTAATATAATTTATATTCTTAAAGCAAAAAAAGTATAATTTATATTAAATATTTTTTATTATTTCTAAAACTAGAATAATCATACTATTTTTAATAATTAAATTATTTATATAATTATATAAATAATATAAAATATGTAAAATATCTAAATATAACTTTTTAACATAGTCTTATGTTCATGCATATCAATTTTTTTTCAATGTTATACATACATTTACTTTATCATCAAGATCATACCTCTTTAGCTATTTGATCAAGTGCTTGATCCTCCGCAGAATGCCGTGTAGCAGTTCGCCTTCGTCCAGCTATTGCTGACTCCATTATGAATTGCTTGTCTTACCAATTTTATTTCAATTGTAACGATTTTAGCTAGGAGAATCCACTTCCAACACCACATTAACAAGTTAATGATGAACTAAGAACAAATTTATATAGATATATAAGCTAAAATGGTTATTGACAAGAAAGTTGTGACAAATCAATTACTTGTTCGACAAGCAATTTTAATTTGCATATCTTTACATTTTGTTAAAAACTTATAAGTTTTTGTTAGATTTTTTATTACGCTTATTAATAATTTAATCCAATTTCCTTCTTTTGATATTTAATTCCTTCGAATCTCATTTTATACGGAAATTGTTAATATAGTCAATGTACTTAAAGGACAGAAATTTCTTATAAGACGATTTTCCAAATATAAAAAAAATCGTTATTACTGTATGCACGAACGTATATAAGTTTGATATATTTATTTTTTTTTCTAGTGTCAGAACTTTTTTAACTTGCCTGCATTTTGCAATGCATACCTATACAATGCAACGATTAGCGTTATTATCATGAAATTCATTGAAGCTATAACACAAAAAGTTATAATCGAATACGAGTAAGGTAAACAGGAAAAATATTTTACAGTATTTTATGTATTACAAGCGAACATCGTAGATAATACCAATACGTGCGCGCTCACGCGCTTGTGATGTCATTATCATATATACAATCTTATATATATATATATATTTATTTTTTTAAATTGAAGAATTGAAAAACACAAGAAAGGAAAAAAGAGTAGTGCTATGGATTTAACGCTGATTTTACTATTACGCTATTTTTAACAAAATGAGTGATAGTATAAAGGATTTTCGCTATAAGTCAAGTGTCTGAAGTGTCGATTTTTAATTGACAGACTCATGCTAGCGATGAAATTTAAGAAGGACTAAGAGAGAAACGTTATATAAGCAAGTGCATCATTTTATTCATTGAAATATATTACAATTATAA